GGAAGCCAACCAAGACGCCAACGTATGCATCGACTTCTCTCAGATCTGGTCATAGGTAGCCAAAGGATAGGGTCTAGGGAGATAGTCGGGCGACAGTGCGTAAGAAGAACAGAGGCGTGCGTTGCGCGCTTGTGATTGAGGTTATCCTGGCGGAACTTCCTTTGCATCAAGCGTAAAGAGCGGCGATCAAGGAATTCTGGGTTTGGTGCGCATAGTCTCCAAATGGGAGACCTAGAAAGTTTATACCATTGGGAGTAACTTCTAGGTTGGAGGATCAATGGGAGTAGATGGGAAAGTAGTGCATCATCTGCAAGGGTATAGGTGCGTAGAGGGAATTGGGATTGAAGGGAGTAAGCGCGTTCCTGCATGGTTGGTAGGTTTGCCAAATGTAGAATCACTGCTATGGAGGAATTGCGCAAACCACCAAAGATTCGACGTATGTAAGCGTCCTGAGCGTCGTCCAACTGTTTGCTAAGGAAGGAGGTAACCTTGGTAATGGCTAGCCCGTATTCTAATTGGGCACGAACGATTTGGGAATAGAAACGAGTGGCTAAGAGAGGGGTAAAACCCTTGGGATGAATGCCAATAGCTGAGAGTTGGTTCATAGTTGTAAGGGCTTTAGTCTTGTTGTTAGCAATCAGTTCAATGGCGTCGAGATGGCCACCCGTACGAAAAGGGATTCCGAGATAGGGAAAGGATGATTGTTTTGGGATTGGTTCTCCATAGAGGGTATAACTTGAAGACGGGTGTATTGGATCTAATATAACACATTTACTTGGGTTCCATCGGTATCCAAGTTGGTAACTGTGGCCTTCGCAAGACTTGAGGAGAGTGGACATATCAGCCTTAGCAGCTATGAGAACAACATCATCAGCATAGAGGAGACAGTTTATGCGAAGGGCGAGTTCGGTAGGGGAAGTATCTGTGGTTAGTGGTCGTGAGCGCAGAAGGCGAGATAACTCGTTAATGTATATAGAATACAAAAACGGAGAGAGAATTGATCCCTGGAGGACACCAGTGGCTGGCGAGAAACGAGTAGATATTGCATTATTGAGTAGGACTTCTATCTGGACCTCATCAAATAGATTCTGAAGCACGCTAATTAATGCAGCAGGTGCTGTTTGCTCTAGGCTTTTCCAAATACAACGACGATCCACAGTATCATATGCCGATTTTATGTCTAAAAAGGCCAGTACTGGGGTTATATGATGAAAGCGACGTAGGATACTGCATATTTCGGCTAGACAGAGAGCTTGGTCTAAGGATCCTCTGGACTCACAGAAACCGCCTTGAGCTATGTCCAGGGGAGGGCTATTAGCTACCAAAAAGCTGTAGATACAGCGCTCTAATATTTTTCTGAAGATGGATACTAGACTAATTGGTCGATAGTTACCTGGCTCTGCTGGGTCGCCTTTCTTATAAATCGGTACAACTTGCGCTATTCGCCAGTCTGGGTGTATAGGACCAGGAAGTCGCGGTTATACAGTATTTCCAGAAATTATTGGTACTGATGCCAAGAGTAAAATTCGCGTTCGTTAAATTCTATTGTCACGTAAACCATTGGCTGATTTCGCTTGCTGACACATTGAATATCGTATATGTAGGTGCCCTGTCGTACAAAATATGAGTATATTAAGCACGAAAGCATCGTTAACTCTTTTTTTTTTTTCTTTTTTTTTTTTTACTTCCTTTCTCATTAAAAACTGAGTACTACAATATGAGCTTTCAAATTTTCTACGAAGACGGGCACGGTAATGCAGTTGATGAATACGGTAGACCTGAGCCTATGGACTATATCATTGACGA